TGGCCATGACCTGTCTTCAGATTCATTCGAGAAGGCAATGGTGCTAGGAATGGTTAGTGAAAGAAGAAAAAGGGTCAATCAAAGACCACGCTGGCTTGATAACATCAAATCTGCCACAAACACGAACATCCCAACAATTGAAAGAAGTTGTGCTTGACAGGGTAGCATGGAGAACACTTGCCTATAAAGTTGCCCAGAGTCAGACACAACTAAATGGTTAAAACAACACAATACACATATGATGTAGGAGTCCCTTTCCGAATATAATTATTTGGCATTAAAATTGTACTCCTATTTTTTTTAAAGAGAGGGGCATTATCTTGTGATCTTGGTAAAATTAGGAAAGTCAGATCATCTTAAAAACCTAATCCATTTCATAGTGTGCTTTTATTGCAGGATTTCTACAAGCAAGAATTTATACTATATATAAATAAACCATTGAAATGATAACAGCCTTAACTGTATTTAAGTCAATACCATTTTGCTCCTAAAGAAGATCTCCCATGCCATAAGTTTAAGATGGAGGAGTAGTGTATCATTTAAAGGTACCCATCAAATGAATGTTCACTTTCCTGCAGTTAACCTTTCTAAGACGTAACATTTCCTTTGTAGTATCCCACTGTAATATAGTTATATGTTCCACCATCAATTTTGGTGTTATGGCTGTGATGTGGTTTTTCCTACTAATTCTGTTTAGTTTAATTTGCAGTTTGACTAAGATCAGAAATATCAGTCCTTTGAATGTTAGCTTGGAAATAAAATGGTCTTAGGAAATGTGATTGGATATATAGTGGAATGTGGATCTTGAGGAATAATAATTATAGGGTACAGATTGCTTGTACCAGGTTCTTTTAAAAACACAGCATCACTGATCACATAGGTTTCTTAACCAACTGCAGACAGATCAATTCACATGAATGTGTTCTTGATAATTGCGGTAAACATATATGTCCCCTGAGAATTACATGCTTAAGAACTAAGCAACGTTCATTTTTCTACTTCCATAGAAGAGGATGTAAATAGAAAGAATAAACTAATTCCTTGTTGGTACATGCCTTTTAAAGTGTACACATTATTTTAATTTATGTAGATTGCAACCCTTTGTGCACTTTACCAGGGCGTAAGCCTCAGTAAATACTGTAGGGAAGTGTTCATACAATACTGAATGAAGCTCATTATCTCTATGCCTAATATGCTGATTCATAAATTAACCACTCTGTCTGGCTTCACCCAAAGAATATAAATGATCCAAACCATATTTTTAACCTAATATGTTGTATAAACAAAGACTGAGACTTGTGAGAAAAGGATTGTGTAGTTCATAAGTATTATAGTAAATATAGTGCAATAATAGAACATGATGGATCCTTGCCTCAAGCTTATTTTCTAAAGTTCATGGAGTTCCTATGTAAGCAAGCTTTATAACGTCTTTAAATGACAAAGGGCACTTAATGTTTATAAAGGAGAGCATGTGGAAGCAATATGCAGTGAAAGATGTAACAAAGTTGCATGTACAGCATCTCCATATGCCCAGATCTTGTGTTCATTTGTCAAACTGTAATTCATCTGAGCCTGCAAACCCTGAACCAAAGTAAAACTTAAGTTCACACATTGCACGCACACCCAGAGAACACAGAAGAACATGAGGGTAAGGATTGGCTACATGTACTGTGTGTCTGAAACCAATAAACAATTATTAGACTTAACTGTGGTTTGTTTGAAAAAAGTCAATATGAAACCATAAATTACGTACTCAGCATTTTTAATAATAATAATAAAGTTGGAAGGGACCTTGGAGGTCATCGAGTCCAACCCCCTGCTCAGGCAGGAAACCCTACACCATTTCGGACAAATGGCTGTCTGGTCTCTTCTTAAAAACTTCCAGTGTTGGAGCATTCACCGCTTCTGGAGGCAGGTTGTTTCACTGGTTAATTGTTCTAACTGTCAAGAAGTTTCTTCTTAGTTCTAGCTTGCTTCTCTCCTTGATTAGTTTCCATCTGTTGCTTCTTGTCCTGCCCTCAGGTGCTTTGGAGAATAGCTTAGCTCCCTCTTCTTTGTGGCAGCCCCTGAGATATTGGAACACTGCTATCATGTCCCCCCTCGTCCTTCTCTTCATTAAACTAGACATACCCAATTCCAGCAACTGTTCCTCATATGTTTTAGCCTCCAGTCCCCTAATCATCTTTGTTGCTCTTCTCTGTACTCTTTCTAGAGTCTCAACATCTTTTTTACATTGTGGTGACCAAAACTGGATGCAGTATTCCAAGTGTGGCCTTACCAAGGCATTGTAAAGTGGTATTAATACTTCACGTGATCTTGATTCTATCCCTCTGTTAATGCAGCCCAGCACTGTGTTGGCCTTTTTGGCAGCTGCAGCACACTGCTGGCTCATATTTAAGTGATTGTCCACTAGGACTCCGAGATCCCTCTCACAGTCAGCTATTGAGCAAGGTACCCCCTATACTATACCTATACATTTGGTTTTTCTTGCCTAAATGTAGAACCTTACTTTTTTCACCACTGAATTTCATTTTGTTAGATAGCGCCCAGTGTTCAAGTCTGTCCAGTCCTCCTGTATCCTAAGCCTGTCTTCTGGAGTGTTGGCTATTCCTGCCAGCTTGGTGTCATCCGCAAATTTGATGAGTTCCCCATCTATCCCCTCGTCCAAATCATTGATGAAGATGTTGAAGAGCCCTGGGCCTAGAACAGAGCCCTGGGGCACCCCACTACACACTTCTCTCCATGTAGATGCAGTTCCATTGAGGACCACACACTGAGTACGGCCAGTCAGCCAGCTACGAATCCATCTGGTGGTAATGCTGTCTAACCCACATTTTTCTATCTTATCGAGTAGTAGGTTGTGATCTACTTTATCAAATGCCTTACTGAAGTCCAAGTAAATTATGTCCACAGCATTCCTCTGATCCACTAATTTTGTCACTTGGTCAAAGAATGCAATAAGGTTTGTCTGGCATGATCTGTTTTTGACAAACCCATGTTGGCTTTTAGTAGTGATTTTGTTTGCCTCTAGGTGTTCGCTGATTCGTTGTTTGATTATCTTTTCCAGAATCTTCCCAGGTATTGAGGTCAGGCTGATAGGTCTGTAATTTCCTGGATCCATTTTTTTTCCTTTTTTGAAGATGGGAACTACATCAGCTCTTTTCCAGTCCTCTGGTAGTTCCCCAGTGCTCCAGGGTCTTTGAAAAATATAGTTCAGTGGTTCTGAGATCACATCTGCCAGTTCCTTGAGAACCTTGGGGTGTAATCCATCTGATCCTGGTGATTTGAACTCATCTAGGCTGGACAGGTGCTCACTTACCATTTTCTTGCCTATCTTAACTTGTGTTTCTATACTGTTTTTATGGCACTATTTTTGATAGATTAGACTGTTTTTTTCCTTTGTGTAAAGACAGATGCAAAAAACGAGTTAAATAGTTCTGCTTTCTCCCCATTGTTTGTCACCTTCTTGCCATTTTCACCCACTAATGGACCAATCATCTCCTTCACTTTTTTCTTGTTTTTTACATGTTGAAAGAAGCTTTTTTTGCGTTAACTGAATACATCAAACGTCACACTTGCAATAAGTGATTAAGACACAATGCTCCTTTCCTCCTCTATTCAAATTATAATGCCCTTACAATATACTAAGCCAAAATGGAATTCCCTTGAGAGGTTTAGGATTTTGACAAACCCACATAGTGTAATTATAGCTTAATGAACCCCTTTCATTCTGGTTTAATCACTACACCATACTTAGGCAAACTATTGGTTAGTACAGCAGCCCCGCAACCTTTTGGGTGCCAGGGACCGGTTCAGTGGAGAGAGGCTTTTCCTTGGACCAGAAGGGGCGTGGTTTCATACACTTTCTGCATCCCACACATGCGCAGATGGGCTTTCACTTGTTTGCCTGGGTTCTTGCAAGCCGCGGACTGGTGCCAGGTTGTGAACCAGGGTTTGGGGACTTCTGGATTAGTATGTGGTATGAACACATCCAGTATGGGTGCATGATAGGGTAATTGAGGTCAGTTCCCTTACTGGAACTGTGTTTGTACAGCCCACTAACTACATAATTATTGTACCATGTGAACAATGAGTTGAAAAGACAGTGGTTAAATTAAACATGCTATGCAAATATAGCTGGGAAGTAGTGTCATTCTGTAGTCTAGGTCAGGGGTCTCCAACCCCCAGTCTGTGGACCGGTACCAGGCCATGGCATGCCAGCAACTAGTCCTCACAAACAAGCAAAGTCCCATGTGTGGGATGCAGGCAGTACACAAAACCACACACTCTCCGGTCTGTGGAAAAACCTTTCTCCACGGAACTGGTCCCTGGTGCCCAAAAGATTGGGGACCTCTGGTCTAGATCAGGAGCCTCAAGTCTTAAAGTTTCCAAGGTCAGACAGATCAGTGTAGAGAATCCTGCAGCATGTGCGAAGTTGGAATCGATGACCTTTTAAGTCCCTTCAATTGTATGATTTTATAAGAGTGCTTGATAAAAAAAACAGAAGAGATAAAGCTCAAGCTTTGGCGGAAGCTTTTATTTATAGCCTTTTGAAGATTTAACAATCTTATTTTTCTCTTCATTTTAGCAAAAATATTATTTTTGGAGTTCTTAAAAAGAGGGTTTTAGGAACTGAATATAGCTCATGAGTTACCCATTCTGCTCTAAAATATAAATGAATGTGCTAAGAATTTTCCTCCATAATATAGAGCAATTGCACTGCTGCAGAAATTAAGTCATGGGTGTGATAAACAATGCAATTAGTGTCCCTACTTAGTTTAGACCCTGTAGCCCTAGCAATTTTCAAGAATTATTATTTCGTGTTAGTGGCGCTTTGTTCACCATGATAAACTGTTTTTGAAAGTCTTACCTAGAGTTGTGTCGTAAAGATATCGTTCTTAAATTCAGCAAAGTTCAGACGTGTTGTTGCCATCAAGGATCATTTTGCTGATAAAAAAAAAGGCTTTCCTGGTTTCTCATTTTAAGGATTCTTTTGACAGAATGCTTGTCCAGGTATGCCTGTACTTCTATTGCAAATGCTTATGGCGCTGCCTGAAATTTGTGGTGCGGAAACTGACTGGACGATGTGAGCTGCAAAGGATTTGCTATAATATCAAGTCTGGAGCTGAAAGAACCTTGAAAATTGGTAAGCAACTTTAGGGCAACTCTTAATATGTATTTTCATTCGTCGTAATAATCTTAAAATGGTTGACTTGTTTGGTTGGTTGGTTGGTTGACAGTTCATGAATTGGCTCAAGCCTTGATTAGACTGGTTTATTGTATATGGAATCTATTTTAAAATGATTTATTATACATCATCATAAAAACTGATGTTTCAGAATACAGGCAGTCCTCAACTTACAACAGTTCATTTAGTGATTGTTAGTAGTTACAACAGCATGGAAGAAAGACCATTGCAGCATTCCCGTGGTCACACTATGAAAATTCAGATGCTTGGCAACTGACTCATATTTATGACTGTTGCAGCATCGTGTGTGTGTGTGTGTGTGTGTGTGTGTGTGTGTGTGTGTGTCAGACATGTGATCAGCTTTTGTGACCACCTGACAAGCAAAGTCAACGGGAAGACCAGATTCATTTGACAACCATGTTACTAAACAACTGGAAGGATTCACTTAACACTGTTAAACAAGAAAGGTTGTAAAATGGGGCAAAACTCACTTAACAAATGTTTCACTTAACAATATAAATTTTGGGCTCAATTGTGGTCGCAAGTCAAGGACTACCTGTGTTTTATTGGAAAGCATGTTTCTGTGACCTAGACATCCTCATCCTGCTGTCTTCCTGAGATATTGATTTAAACAAAGGTTACCTCCTTAATTGCAATTAAAGGCAATGAAATTTGCCGCTGAAGAGTCTCATAAAGTTCTGATTATCTGTGGCAAGAAGACAGTCTTCAACACAAGACAAAAGTTAGCAAGCAAGCAAACATTTTATCAAGTTGGGTTTCATTTATCATATTACAACAGTTTCCTTATTAGGAGCCAACAGTGGTTGATATAATTAAAAAACAAACTTTCCTTGGACTACACATAGTAGTTATTGTTTTTTTCCTGCAGAATTTAACAAGATAGCTGGCAAATGGAACAAAAGCCACTTGTTCTCTTTTCTGGTGTAGCGTGTAGCTTCGTATCATTAATTCTCTTTCTTCATAGTACTTGATCTAATACAGGCAGACCTCAACTTACTATCCTTCATTTAAGGATGGTTCCAAATGATGACGGCCTGGGAAAAAGCAATTTACAATCTATCTTCATATTTACAACTGTCACACCATCCCCACAGTTACATGATCACAATTTGGGCAGTTGGCAACCACTTTGCATTTACAACCACGTTGTAGTGTCCGCCATTTAAAATCTTTCCAGCCAATTTCCAGCAAGCAACCTCAGTTGGGGAAGCTGGATTTGCTTAATGACCATTTAATTTGCTTAATGGACATGTGCTTTGCTTAACAACCCCAGTAAAACTGGTTGTAAAAAAAATTGGTTCACATGATATTATGTTTTACAACTGTATCAACTTACAATGGAAATTCCAGTCCCAGTTCTGGTAATGTTTTTCGTCCATCAATTTCGATGAAGACCTTGACATCTTGTGGGTTATGGGCCATCAACGATGTGTCCGTAGGTGGCTGATAAGACCGATGTTAGCACAGAATGTTCTGCCACATACTGAACAAAGAAATGTAGACACTGTTACTTCTGCATTTACAGCTTTGGCTTTGTGGAGTGCTCGCTTCTCTTGTGCCAAGATTGTCCTGTGTTCATATGTCTGGCAACCCTGGTACACCAAGGTGCACCATGTCAGTCGATCATGCGCCAGAAGTTCCCAAGAGATGTTGTTAATATCCAGGGACTTAAGAGAGGCTTTCAACGTGTCTTTGTATCGCTTCTTTTGTCCCCCGTGCGATCGCTTTCCTTGAGACAGCTCACCATAGAAGAGCTGTTTAGGGATGCGATGATCTGGCATCCTTACAACATGGCCTGCCCAGTTCTGGTAGTAAGTTGAGGACTACCTATCCTGCAATAACTTCTGGCTTGTTCTGATGTTCATCCTAAATATGACTTTGATTGTATTTTCTGATGTTTGGTGATTTGGGGGTCCCGATTCGCCATCCTACCTCAAGACTTTAGAAATTCTAGATTAGACAGATTGTACTGCTGAATAAAAATATATTTTACATTACTGAGACAGCTTATTTTTTTTAAAAAAAACTTATTTTATTAATCTTTAGCTTCCCCCTAAATATTTCGTATACATATAAAAATTCAACCCTCTTTGTTTCCTAATAAAATCCCTCCTTTTTCACTTTTCCTCGCTGGTGAAAGCCCATTGATAAAATATTATATGGTTCTATTGGCCACATTGTTAAAAAGGCTAAAATGTAAAAAAAATTAACATTTCACAAATATTTTTCCCAACAGAGACATCATTGAGGAATTCAAAAAACAAGGTGGGTAAAAGTTTCTCTGTATTGTGTACATTTGATGCAACAATATTAACTCTGTGATCTATACTGCAACAGCAGTATGGAAACAAGATCTTCAGATACCTGAAAAATATGATACTGTAAAAAGGAAGGAATTGAAATATAACCTTTATATCTTACTGGCTCTGAGATACTTACCTGACATATTTAGAGGTTCAGGAATTGATTGCCTGATAATATCGATGCTCATTGATTTGCCTTAATAAATACGGGTCTTTCACCCCTATCCTTTTGACAGCTGTTGAATATTCATGAGATGGAAATTTGAAAGTTCTTTGTGCATTGAAGATTTTCATTACTATTCTTTTTTATTGTTATTCAGTTAAAGATAACACAGATGATCATCCTTATTGGACACCATGATGTAGAAGTGTCTATAGGAGGAGGTTTTCAAAAAAAGATGATGGCTGCCTTTTTTTAACATGCATCATGCATGACTTATAAAAAGCAGTGAAGCCTTGATTGTACGGTACAGCTCTCATCTTGATTTTTTAAAACTTCCCTTGCCTATCTCATTCCCCCGCCCCCAGAAATATTTCAGTGCAGGGTTAATCAGAGTTAAGTAAATCAGGATAATATCCCTGTTAGGACTTCTCATAATAGTTTCAATAATTTATTTCCAGTGCACTTGGGAAAACTGATATGTGATCATTCTTTTGTTTCAGTTGCTCCAAAATTCCGTTAGTGTTCCTCCTGATGCAATTGAAAAAACGGTCGATGCCATCATAGAACTGAAAAAGATTAATCCAGATGTAAATCCTCAGTAAGTTTTAAATATGTGGCATTGGGGGAGAGAATGTTTTAGACTTTGTTTTGTATTTCTTTTAAAGTTGATTTTACCACGCATTTCCCAATATAGTTCAGGTTTTGGCAAACATTTTGTGAAAGATACAAGTATTGCTCAACTTACCATTGTTCTGAGTTGAGACAGGCTCAGAACAGGCGCTTTATGGCCTGCACAGCACTTCTGACCATTGTAAAATGTGGCTGTCCTCTCTCATGGTCACATGGTTGCATTTTGGGTGTTTGGCAACCAGTTACCTTTATGACCGGTTGCGGCATCGGGCACATTTGGCCACTTTTCATGAAAAAAATCCCATTCAGAAGTTTTCTTAACAACTCTACCATTTGCTTAAGTGCTGCATTATTCACTTAATGACCACAGTAGTGATTTGCTTAATGACTACCACAGAAAATATCATAAAAGGGGTCCTGTCACAAGGTTGCTTCAATTTGTGACTGTAGCAACGTAAAACTGGAGCTGCCTGTAATTCTTTGACATGATCCCTCATGAGCACCAAGGCCACAAACTTGGGTAAATAATTTCTCTACTAAAGCTGTTGATGGACAGCAGACACAGCTGCATCTTTCCCTGGAACCAGTTCTTTATCTCCCAATCTACTTTATTATCCAATGATCATTCCATATATAATGCTTGGCGTGCACATTCAGTTCTTAATTATTCACGAAGCAAAGCAATGCTTTTAAAAAGAAAAGTTTTTATTTTAATCAGTCAAAATATTCTTTTGCCCCCAGCAAAAGAGAAAAAAAAGATTTCTTTTCAGCCACCTCTTAAAGAAGGATGCAAATCAGCTGTAAGGACAAACATCAAGGAAATCAGTAAAGATGAATTGAAAGATTGTATGTCCACAAGTTCCTTACAGTCATGCAGAAAGTTTCTTTTCTGCTGAAGTAAGCAGGCAGTTTGATGTAGAATGCCTAGAAAGTCAGATTTTTGAGCAATACACACTGTCTCAAAAAATGCTGATCATCTGGAAGGGGAAAAAAAGGAAATAGGTCACCATTCTATACTAAGGTAATATCAGTCCTACAAAGCTGAATTATTGAGTTTGCCGTGCTTATCTTTTCATTCTAGGCTAAGTATATCCCTGCAAGCCTGCCTTTTGCAGATTGTAGGATACAGAAATCTGATTGCTGAGGTGGAAAAGCTGCGTCGAGAGCAGTATGATTCTGAAGAGGATCAGCATGAAGAAATGCTTCTGAAGGTAAGTGCTAGAGCTGTGTTTACAAGTGAGCTTTGTCTCTTAAGAAGGCCATGAATAAAGTTACATGCTTAGAGTACTGATAAAAAGATTTAAATGTACAGTTCTTCCTAAACTCATTGAGTGATTGCAAAGCTGCTAAACTGAGTGGGAAGGTATAGCTTTTTGCTTATTTCTTTAGCTTCCAAAAACTGCAGGCAACAATGTGGTATCCTTAAAATTAGTATAACGAAGATTTTCAATCTGATATTATGAGCAATAGGGAAACAAAGGATAAAATGGGAAAACCTGACTTTTGGGAGCATTTGTATGGTGTCCTAAATCTCTGTATCAACCACAAATGTTTGAAAAAATTGACCTCACCAACATTGAGGTACACTGAGTCCTGTAAATTGGGCTCTGGAATTGTATATGCTGTGACTTATCCACCCATGAGCTAATCCTACTTCTTCCCCCAATGTAAGATCTTTATATAGAATCTTACATTAAATTCCTTCCTTTTGTGTCCAATCACACTTGGCCAATAAAAATATTCTGTTCTACTCTACTCTACTCTACTCTACTCTACTCTACTCTACTCTACTCTACTCTACTCTACTCTACTCTACTCTACTCTACTCTACTCTACTCTGTATGGCTTCCTCTATCTAAAATAAAGTCTCTCCAAGGACCACAACTTTTCATAGTAAAGAGACTCCACAACTGATCAACTTTTACTGAAAACTGAAACTTTCATTGAAAACTGAAAGTTTTCTCTTAAAGTAAGCAACATATAAAATATTTTAATTTATTAATATGGGTCAAATCTGCTTTTGCAGAAGAACACCAATGTTAAAGTCATTGCTCAAATGCCAGTAGACTTACTGACTGAATTCAAAGTGCTGATCATTACTTCTAAAGTCCTATACAGTAGAGTGCCAGAATATATTCTGTGCCAGAATTGACTCTAGCTCTGACCAGTCCAAACTTCCAGAGATGACCATCCATGGGTCCACTTCTTTGAGAGGGCAACAGTCAAGTGGCAGGCCTTTTCATTAGTAACCCCCACAGTTTGGAACATGCTACCACACAGGTCCATTTGGCTCCATCCCTTCTTGAATTTCCTAAGGCCATTAAGAGAGTTTTTGTCAGGTGCAAGAAGTCAGAAGCCAGGATAGGGTTCAAAAACACTACAAGTTTATTTCATGCTACCTAGACATAAGATTCTGATTTACTAATGGTCAGGGCAAATTGGTGCCAGATAAGAATCAATGGACTTCAAGGAGGAGCTGGGCTTACGTCCCTTAATAGGGGCATAGAGATTCCAAACTGATGATGCATTTGACCCTGCCCTCAGGCTCAGCCTAGCCATTTCCAACATCTCCTTTATGCCACTGGGTCTTTGACCTTGAACAACTGTAGAGAACCATTATCATGATATTCTAATTTTGTTGTATAGTTTTCTCTGTTTTATTCTCACTTTGTTTTACATTACTCGGAGTCTCAGTTAATTGGGGCGATTTTCAAATAAGTAAAAGAAAGCATGGAAGATGATGATGACATAGACTCTTGTCATCTCACAATTAGATAACTACAATTCCACTAACACTGGATTGACTTGAAGATGACTCAGAGGTTCCCATTGGCACAAATTGTGGCTGCCTGCCTGCCTTTAATTGGTTTAGCAGATTAACACCTATTTTGCAGTCAGTCTACTTGTTGCCACAGCTCCTGGACACAGTTCAGATGCTGGTAATTAATAGCTTCAGCAAAGTTCCAAAGTAAATGAAAACTTACCAAGTATTTGTTCATAACAGTTCTCTGAAACTGAAAACATTATAGCCATTTGCTTGCCTGGTATTCTAGCAACATTCTGGATCTGAATCTTAAGCCCTGGTTGAGGCATGAATATCCATTTTGTTTTAGCAGAAGAGTCTCCAGTTTGACAAGCCCTGATATGCTCTTACAAAATTAGTATAAAGGAGAAAAAAAAAAATTCCCTTTATGGCTAATGATGTTTACAGCCATTCTATTACTTGCGGCTTTGCCTAGAGGTTTGTACCAAGCTAGAGAAAATAACTATGGAGACCTGGTCCGGATTCTTGCACATTTCTGTATTAAAGCAAATCAGATTTCCCAGGGGCCATGTTTGAAATGAATGCAATGTCAAGGAGAAAGCCTTGCTGATTTTTAGTTGGCACATTGCCCCAGGATCCTTCAACGCCATGCATAACAATAAAGGCAAAGCCAATAAGGACGGATTTTTTAAAAATATATCATTGCACACAAGCCCTGTGTTATAATAGACCTGTGATTTTCTTTTACTTCCAAAGCTATGGAAATGCTTGAAACCTGATTCTCCTTTGGAAGCTCGGATTTCCAAGCAGTGGTGTGAAATTGGTTTCCAAGGTGATGATCCTAAAACAGATTTTAGAGGAATGGGGCTTCTGGGGTTGTATAACTTGCTGTAAGTATATTTTTCTTTCTTTCACGTAATGAATTTAAAAGCAAAAATTGTATTTTCTTTTTTTTTCTTTTTTTAAATATCCAGACTTTGTCAAGAAAATTATTCGTCTGAATTCAGTTCATTGCAACTATCTGTCCCTGTAGACGATAATTTCTTTAAATCAACACTATAGTGCCCACAATGGAAGAAAACAGGGTTTAAATTGTTTAATACAACAATTACAATGTCAGCAGGTTTATAATAGGAGTATCAGATCTCTGTCTTTTCCACCTGTGGTGCTCATATATCATGATTTGATTTTTCAGTTGGTATATGTTTTAGACAAGTTAAGAATATTTCCTAGTATGCATTTGGTTAGATGACTGGTTCTCAACCTTTTCTTCACCGTGGACCCCTTAACACCTTATGTGGCCACGGACCATGGCCATGGACCCCCCCAAGATTTAATTCAAGATTTAAATCATAACAGTTCTTCAAGCCTTTGCGGACCCCTGTGATGACATCATGGCCCCCCAGGGGTCCACAGAACACAGGTTGAGAATTACTAGGTTAGATCATTTTTAACAGGTGTGTACCTCTTTCCACTGTAGCGGAAAGAACAGTTTCTTACACACAGTGGTTTGTCTGTTCATTATAAGAATAACCAGATGTTGAAAAATATACCTGAAGTGATGTAATGATGTCATTCAATATTGGCACACATTGTGTGTTTTTCTCTCTCCCTTCTAGATACTTTGCTGAGCATGATGGTCCTGCAGCTCAGCAAATTCTCTTAGACTCTCTTCAGCCAAAATATAGGTAATGTTTGAAGCTGGAATTAGCAGCAGCATCTAATAAATCATTTGAAATATCAGTTTGCATCCCTTTTATTATTGATATAAAATGCTCTTGCATTTTTCTTGCATTCTTTTACTTGGGGGTTGGGGTGAGGATGGGATAAAATGCCTTGATTTTACATATTTATTTCATTAACAAATCATGAACATTAATCCACATTTAGACTTTTTTTTTTACTTAATTTCCTTTCTTTTTTCATCTTTCACAATCAAGGGAAATCACTAAAGAGGAAATAAGGTATATATACATATATTCTTTTTCTATTTTATAAGCTTTGAACTAAAGTTTGGAAACCGACATAAAGGAGATCCAGAGGGATAAATTAAAACAAAATCTGAGAAGTTGGCTCCTACAGTCATTTGGATTCAGACATTATATAACATTGACATTAATTACTATTGGTGATAGTGGTGGTGGTCACATAGCCAATGAGGTGTTTATTTGGCATTTTTGTTCATCTATCGAGTCACTCCCATTTTGTTTAATAATGTAAAAAGTATTGTCCCAGGATATAAGCTGTTCCAAGTAAATCTGCTTTTGTAATTGACTAATGGTGATTTTGTCAGTGCTGATGGTGTTCAAGTGGTTCTCCGTGTGTTTTTGGAATTGCACCCAAGGTGCCTATTGTTAATATTGTTAAAGATCATGAAGGCTTCATTGCAAGAAGACCCTGGTGAAGGAGAAAGGAGTGATTGCATATGAGGACAAAGAAAAAAGGCAGGCAATACAAAGAACCAAGAAACAAAGATTGAAAGAAATGAGCATGTTGACCATAGATAAGGGTGAGGTGATGACATGATGAAAGTTTGAGTATGTGTATGTGTAAAAGTGTAAATATTCTGAAGATATCCCAGATTTTAAAAAAATGCAAAGTCTTATTTCTAAGAGGGCAGGTCTTCATCTAATAGACTTCAGTTATAGGAAGCTAGATTTTGTCTTAATCATATGAGAAACTTCTTAACAGAAGTTTCAACAGTCTCAACATCCTTCTCTTTAAGGATTTTGTTCATCTATGAGATTTGAGTAGATTCCATGATCTTCTCTCATAACTGTTTATAAGTCCCCTGGTGTGGGGGGGTACATTTTTCAAATCCCAGAGTTGGATTGATTTCTGGGGCACTTCCTGAGGACCAAATGAGAGCTAAACAGGAGAAGGCCCTCTTCTCCATGTGCTAGATCAGCAAGCTTTGGGCAGCAGGGACGTCTTCAAAAGGACCTTTCCTATTGGTAGAAATAATCAAGCAGGTTCATAGTAGGAGAGAGGATTCCTCAGAATATCTATCTCAGATATCCCCACAACTACTACATTGCATTGTAATATATCAATTAGTAATCTTACTATATAGAATATATAGAAATTATATTGGAAAAATATATTGAATGTGGAATGTGACTTGTCAGTTTTGCTTTTAAGGGAAAATGTTGGCCTATTTATTTATTTTAGAGTATAAATTAGACTTTATTAGAAAGCAGAATATAGTTCTTTCCACATAACAAGACAAAGTCATATTCCAACTTCCAAATGACAAACAGGAGTTTCATATCTTCCTATTATTCTGTCTAAATGTCTCTGTCCTAGAAATTTTAATTCAGAATTAGTTTTATAGCCATGCATGTAATTCTCCAATAAAAAGCATCCATGAAGGAGGGAGGGAGGGAGGGAGGGAGAGAGAGAGGGGGGGAGAGGGAGAGGGAGAAGCTAGGCAGAGCACCTAACTCTAGTTGAGAGAAGCTAGGCAGAGCACCTAACTCTAGTTGACTATGGACATCTCATGACTTAAAACCAAACTGACAGAAGAGAATATTTGCAACTCAGGAGTGAATTGTGAGGTCCTTGATGCTCTCTGAGCTTGACTGTTTTCTTGCAGACATTTCATTACCAAACTAGGTAATAGCATCAGAGCTAATGAAATGTCTGCAAGAAATAACCAATTTCAGAGGGCACCAAGAACCTCACAGTTCAGTCCTGAGCTGCAAATATTCTTGGGGGTTTATTGATGTTTAAAAGTTAAAGAAAATGGTATAATGCATCTCCTCTAACTGAAATTTTAGTAATCTAGAAACAGAATAACAGAATTGGAAGGCACCTTGGAGCCCAACCCCCTGTTGAAGCACCACTGAGCTCTTCTAATATTAACTCTTAACTATCCAAAATGGCTTAGTGTAGTTTCTACCATTTCACCAATGTCAAGCTTTTCCTTCTTCACTCCCAGTTACCTTTTCTTCCAGGAAGGTGTTGAATAATTGTCATGCAATTAATATAAACACCATTCTCTGTCTTAGTGTCTCCCCTTTCCTCCAGTAATCCAGAGAAATTGATTAAATTACATACTGTACATACATACATACTGTACATAAGCAAGTTAAGATGGGAGAGGGGAGGAAAATAGATTCAAAATCACTCCTTTCTCCTTTATCAACCTTCTCACATAAGAAGCCTCCTGAGACACAACCTATCTTGCTTGAAGACTTAAGGGATGATGGGTTATTTGTCCATTTATTTATTTTTAATGATACTGAGAACTGCCATTTTTCCATCCAGATTTAGGGAATTCACTTGTCAAAATCAAATGAATACATTATCAGGAATGTGAGGCGTCACATGTAGACTAGTTTTCAGATGTTTAAAAACAACTCCACATAAAGGCAATTCATTTTCTGCTTTTCTCCTTCCGATAAGTAGTGTTATTTTCTCTTACTTTTTCAAGTGATTTGTCTTACCTGCCTTAGGCTGCAGTCAGACTTGTAAAAATGTAAAAGAAATATAGAACACGGATTTTTTTTCTCTCTCTCAGTGTACTCTGTTTTTTAGGCTGCTTGGAGAATCAGTGTCTCTGACACAAGGGGATCAGTCTCAGAAATATTTTAACAAGGAGAAGTATATTATACTGATAGCCAATCAAGTTAAATTAGCTTCAGAGATAAACAGTTTAAAAGCCCATCTCAAAAGACAGAATAAAATGCAATCAGATTGATTAGGTTTTCCATTGAGGTGACATACTGTAGGGGAGGGGGCAAACATTTTTCATTTGTAAACCATCCTTTTATTTAACTTTTTCAGCAAATATAGCAAGACTGAATGGGAGAAGAAAAAGTTTGATAAAGCTATTGGGTAAGTGCAGCATTCCAAACCAGAAATCTCATTAGAGTCACCCTCGTTTGCTGATAATTTTGTAATTAAATCCCTGCTCACCCTGTTTGCCATAGAATTGTAGAAGGAGATTCTTATCTTTCAGAAATACCTCTGCTTCTTTTTTTATTTTATTTTTTGAAGGCATTGATGAGACAAGATGTGCGATGTGGTAAGAACACTCTGCTTAGATGTTGATTTTAATAAGCTCCATACTGTCTCTGTTGGGGAATGATTATAATGGTTATCATGGAAAAGAAGTTCATTAGATGACTTCGGATTAGTTGCTCACTCTCAGCCCACTGCACAGTTGTGGGAGGTTTACAATGAAAGAAAACACTACCTCCAGGTTAAAAGAGTAGTGTGCAGATCTAATGCAGATAGTCCTCGACTTATGACCACAATTGAGCCCAAAATTTCTGTGGCTAAGCAAGACAATTGTTAAGTGAATTTTGCCCTATTTTATGTCATTTTTGCCATAGTTGTTAAGTAAATCACTACCGCTGTTAAATTAGAGGCACGTTGTTAAGGGAATTTTGCTTTCCCATTGACTTTGCTTGTCATAAATTTGCAAAAGGTGATCACATAACCCTTTATGCAACCGTCATAAATATGGATCAGTTGCTAAGCATCCCAATTTTGATCACGTGACCATGGGGATGTTGCAATGGTTCTAACGGTCATAACTCATTTTTTTCAGTAGTGTTGTAACTTTGAACAGTCACTAAATGTAAGTTGAGGACCACCTGTAAATAAAGCAGACTTCTTGTCCTTATTTATGACTTGAGAGAGGATGAGTTATTACCAAGAAAACTTTCAATAGAGGCATGTCTATTATTACAACCATTGTTATTTCAATAGGAATCACTTACTAGGTTTGTTTCAGTCCAGTAATGAAAATAGATTTATTATAGTTCTTCAGGATTGGTTGGTTGATTGTGTGCCATCAAGTTGTTGTTGACCCTTAGGATCTGCATAAATATTCCTCCATGATGATATCTTTCCATGATGATATCTTTCCGTTGAAATCTTCCAATAGTGCCCTCATCACCACCGTAGCTGAGTTCATGCACCTTCCTGCTGGTCAACCTCTTCACTTTCCTTCTACCTTTCCTATAATTAGAGCCTTTTCCAAAGAGTTAAGTCTTTGTATAATACATCCAAAGTTGGATACTTTAAGTGTGGTCATTTTTGCCTGATGTGAGAACTCTGGGTTGATTTGTCTGACAATTGATTTGTTTTCTTGGCTGTCTGAAGTATTCTTATGGGATATAGTCCCATATTAAACAACTCCTGTAAAAGTTGCTATTAAATAAACAGAGCAAATGAAAACTGTTACAATCATTCATTACCCTTGTATTACTCACCTTTCTTTAAAGTGTATTTCTTTGTACTTTTAACAAGTACAAGTAGCTCTTGACTTACAACCATGTTTGGGCTCAGAACTTCTCCCATTAAGTAATGCAGCTTTAAGCAAGTTTCACTCAATTTTATGGCCTTTTTTGCCATGGTCATTAAGTGAATCAGCATGGTTGTGAATCCCACTCCCCCCCCCCCCCCGGTTGACTTTGCTTGTCAAAACCCCCTGAAAAGGATGCAGAAGATGATCACATGAGCTTGGGATGCTGCAACCATTATAAATTCATGCTGGTTGCCAAACTCCCAAATTTTGATTGTGTGTCTGCAGAGATGCTGCAGTGTTCGTAAATGAGAGGACTGGTTGTAAGTCCATTTTTCAGCACTGTCATAACTGCAGTTGTTAAATGAATGGTCTTAAATTGAGGACTACCTGTATACTCCTTTGCCAGTCATGCTGTGATATTGAAAAAAAGCATGAGACAGGAAGTAGACATTCAACAAAAGACGGCAAATTCAGACTTTCATAATGGCATGCAATTGCAACTGAAAAAAAGAACATAAAAATCAATCTGTTTAACATGAGTTTTTGGAAACAGAAACGACTGTGAATTTTCTAGATGTAATAGTTCCTTCAGCTTTAGTTTTATTCTTTGTAATCTCATTTCTGTATTTCTTGCAGATTTTCCTTTGCTATTGTTGGCATCAACATAACAGAACTTGCATACAACCTGCTTGTGAGTGGTGCTCTGAAGACACATTGCTACAATGTTGCTCCAGAAGCTCCAACGTTAGCCCATTTCCAGCAAACATTTTGTGAGTATTTGTGTTTGTGTGTGTGTGTGTGTGTGTGTGTGAGAGAGAGAGAGAGGGGGGGGGGGAGAGAGAGAGGATTTCTCTGTGTAAGAGAGAATGATTGCATTTATGTATTTTCTTCAATTCATAAGGGATCAATTATACAAAAGGTTGTTGCATTCCATTGACTAAATATATGCTTTATATTAAAACTAATATTAGGGTCTGAGAATGATCTATATTTGGCAGTAATAGATCTGGTTCAGGAAAAATAAGCCAATCTGTTTTATGCAAAATCGCATAATAAACGAACATTTTCCCCATGTTGGCTAAAGTAGACTTGTCCCCAAAGGAAAACAGTTTTGAAATGTCCTCCAGATTCTACTCTTCTGTGTATTTTTTGATGATTAAATCCTTTGTGAGCATTGGAGAATTTTTAACATTATTCAGGACAAAAGGTTGTTATGATTTGCCAAGGCCAGCAGATGGTGCTGTTTTATTTCTGCCATCATCAAACACTCATTTTTAACTCTGTCTTCTAATTCTGCTTCTTGGTTACTTTTTCTCGACTTTGGCTACCTCAGGATTTCAACATATCGCAGAATTCCTCTGTTGTTTCAGCACAAGCCAGGCTTCAAGAGAAAGAAGTCATGCACTTCAAAACTTTTTTCAAAATGTCTCCTTGGGTACATTTTGACTAATGTCAAATAATGTTGCTTTGCAGTAATCAGGTCAAATTCTGACTAGTTTTGCATTCCTCATTCCCACCCGCTTTTATTGCGTTTTCCTATGTGAAGCTTAGCCATCATCTGTAACAACTGAAATAAAGTTTTGGGTTCCCCCAATTTCTTTTTATCTAAAATTGCTAAATACGAAGGGTTGATGCATACTTTCAAAATGGAACATGCATATAGGTAGTCTTTGACTTACGACCATAATTGAATCTGGTCATTAAGCAAGTCACCATATGACTGAGCCTGATTTTACAACCCTTTTTTGCAGCAATTATTAAGCAAATGCCATGGTCATTAAATGAATGCTTCTGTTGTCATACAAATCCATACCTCATTCTGGGGTATTCTTCATTCATTCATTGATTCATTCATTCAATTGCTGTAGCTTCCGAACTTAATTAATGATTCTGGGAGGCTTTTTGCCAGAAATCACAAGTAAATACCAGCAAAAAGTAATAAATACTGTCACCGGAGTTCAGGACACTGCCTAAGGCTGCAAATGCAGGCCAATTGCTAAGCACTCAAAATATGGTCATGTGACCATGTGGGGGTATAAGGATCTGCCTTAGCTAAACCTCCCAAGAAAGCAGAACTCTTGAAATGTGCAGCATTTCAACATGAACTTTTATTGGGGGTGCTGACTACAGGAAAGTAAGGCAGGATCTGAGGGTTCCAAGTAGGAAACCAAAACCCCACCCCAACTGTCCATCTGATCGGTTCAAATAGAGCCAATCCAAAGTTGTCAAATTGTCAAGGTTGTCAGGTCTCTTCGCACAGTCTTCCCTCCACCTGAAGATAAGGCAGAGGGGCGGAGGTACATTCCTTTCTCACCCCAAGAAAGGGATGGCACATTTCAAAGAGAAAGAACAAAGCAAAGGAAATACACTGCAGAAAGCCCATATGCCCCCTCCCCCCCCATAGAATGGCAGAACCGGAAAAGGGAAAGAAGGATTTAAGGGTTCCGAGGGGGGGGGGCTGGCTAGCAGAACGTTGAATCTGGGTTGTTAGTAGATTTTTTGAGATCTGACAGTACTTCAAATAGTCACTAAGTGATGGATCATAAGTCAAGGAATACTTATAGTTAATTATAAATAAACCTGTTAAAATTGTGTGTACGTATGTGAGAGAGAGAGAGCGAGTGAGTGAGTGTCAGTGTCTGTCAATGTCAGTGCTGGCTGGGGAATTCTGGAAGTTGAAGTTCAAACATCTTCAAGTTACCAAGGTTGAGAAACACCGATATATATCATATATTTTGGTACCCCTTGATCTCTTGGAAGAACTTTTGGTATAACATTCACATATATATTTTTTCCCTGATAGAAATGGCTGCAATATCTGAACTGAAAATTCCCCTGTACAACAATTCTCCATTGACTACAGATGTACATTTTCCACCCATACCCTCGGTTTTATATAGTTTACCCAAAAGATGGTTCTTCTGCTTTGCTTTTGAAAGCTTCCTACATTGCTAGTTCGATATAAATTCTGCTAGAAAAATCATTTGAGAGGATAACGTTGCTAGTCTCAAGTTTGGAGGCTTTTGTTTTTTTTAAATGCTGTTTGGGTAAAGCTGGGGAATATCTTTGCAAACATACTTGGGGGGGGGGGAAGGCTTTGTTTTTTTTCTAGCCTCATTTTACCAGGAACTAATTTTCTAAATTATCCTTGTACCTTCTGAGCTTTTTCTGTACCAGCATTCCAGCCACAGGCTTATACTTCACTTTTCCAAGTTTATATGCTTGGATTAAAGGTTAGTGCAATTACAGTGTTCATATGCACAGTTTAAAATGATGGTTAAAACAGGTAACTTAGCCATTTAGTTTTGGTTTTGTTCTTACCTAGAAAAATTGCACTGAAGAAGCAACACAAGGCCTTTTGAAGAGATACTGATAATAAGAATGATAAGAAAAAACATTTTTTCTTGGGATGAAGCAAAATACCTTTGATTAAAAAGAAGGGGCACTTGGAAAAGGTGAAAAAAGTAATTGTGTGCACTAAAATACTGCAACATTAAAATGTCTCTAATTCTGTCTGCTTAAAAAAAAAGTAGCACATGGCTTTTTCCAAACTAGTCCTTTTCACCTGTCTTGCATGCACGATGGCAGAGATTTATGAGAACCCATCTGGGCTGTCCTGCCTTCAGCAGCACTTCCTTCTCTCCTTGCGGTTCATATTATCCCACATCCATACTATAGCCAAAGAAAGTCATAGCATTAAATGACATTTGGATTAGGTTACATGTAGAAGAGGAATAGTAAAACCGTTTATGCATCGAAGGAAAACCCAATTCATTTGAATTCAAATCCTTTGACTTTTTGTCCCCGTAGGCTACTTGATGCATGAATTTCATAAATTCTGGATTGAAGAGGATCCCCTGGACATAATGGAGTTCAACCGGGTGCGAGAGAAATTCCACAAACGGATTGTCAGGCAGCTGCAGAATCCGAATATGGCGTTATGCCCTCACTTTGCTGCCTCGGAAAGCTTAATCAACCTGTAGCCATCCCCATGGTTTGATCTGGAAACACTGCCTGGTTCTTGTGTTACGCCACCATCTAGAGATAAATTGCTGATGTATTGAATGATCACGGCAAGTGCATGCCTGTTTTTTGATGCAGTATTCATTTCTCACGCTCTCTTTCAGGAACCGCCTCCCACTGCTCCAATGGAGAGTTTGGTCACTGTCAAAGAGAGCTCATATTGCAATATTTTGCAGTGTTAAAACATTTTGAATTGATGTCCTGTGTTTCTTTCCCTTCCTTTAGGGCAAGGTTTCTCAACTTTGGCAGCTTTCAAATGCGCGGACTTCAACTCCCAAAATTCCCCAGCCAGCCCTTGCTGCTTGGGGAATTCTGGGAGTTGGGAGTCCACACATCTGAAAGCTGCCATGATTGGAAAACACTTTTTAGGTTCTTATCTCTTCCCTTTGCTACTGCATATTTCATTTAATTGAAGAACTGTATTTCTGTAGCTGGGTGGGGGATATTTTTTTGTTGTTGTTTATATACACAGAATAGTTTAGTTGGAAACTTGTACTGTGAGAACTTTTTAACGTATTCATTTTGTTTTATGATAACTTTTCTTTAAAAACTGGGCACGATCCAGATGTAAGTTAACTTTTTTCAGTCCTGTTTAACTCAATGGCACTGAAGTGAAGGGAACTGAAAAATGCTAGCATTAAACTGGTCTCATGCTTTTGAATATCATTTATAAAGCCTAAACTTGACAAAATACATTACATGTAACAATTTCTCCCTCATGCAGACATGCATGCTTCGTGAAAAAAAAACAGTAGTAAGATTTGTAATAAAAATGTGTGAATAATTTTATCATACATAAAGAATTTATAATGAGGCTATGATGGCAGGGAGTTTGAATGAATTTGAGGGAATGAATTAAATTGATAGAATTCATGGATGTAAGCAAGTCTCCAGCAACATTATATAACTTGGTTACCTTCATACGTGCTGGACTGTTCTTCTCATTAGATGTTCTTCTCATCTCCAACCTCCATGATTATAAAAAATTATCCTTTTGGAGAGGAGGAACAGAGGAGGTTTATCTCATTAATGGTTTATACTGGACTATGGTCCCAGTATTCAACTAAACTTTGAAAATGCAGAATTCACTGGTTGTATTTCTGCATGTCTGAATGCAATTTGATTGTGTGCGAGTGTGTTTTTGGTTGCTTTAAGGGGACAAAGCTATATTTTCTTCATTTTTCAATTACTGAATTTTGGGCTTGGATTATCAGCTTTGTTCCTAGCTGAAAGGAATTAACAAAGAGTCGTGAAAGGAGTAAACATAACTGGTTATTAAGCAATTAAAGGGATTTAAGGGAAGAAATGGGCACATTCTGTATAGAACATTATCATAAAATTGTGCTGAAATGACTGGTAGATGCATTACCTTTTCCATGAGATTCATGCAAATATTCTTTTTTTTAAAAAAGTGGAATTTCAGAGGAACAAATCCATTTGGGTTGTTGTCAGTTCCCTTTGACACCCTGGATAATCTACACTCAGTTGATTTTACCATGGTATTTCATAGTACCATGATTTTTTTTTAACCTTCTGACTGTTATAGGGTAGGTTATGAAATTGCTTACATAGCAAGATTGAATTTGAGGTATTGCCTAATTATTTGTGGATTATATGAATAAATGACATCATTCCAAATAGGAAAAGTGTGTGGGTCTCGTTATTTAAAATGCAGCAGTGTTAAATGTTGCTGCTCAGGTATTTCCAAGAGAAGGATTTGGAAGAAAAATGATACCATCTTAATCAATTCTGTTCACTAAGGTGTATAATTTCTTTCCTTATGATATGGTAGAGTCCAGATTCAGCTGATTTTAAAACCACCCCCAAATTTGGGGAACCCACTTTAACGTGGCTCATTTTAGAGTGTGTAGGAAATTCATAAAGGCAAAAGGATCACCTTCGAAAGACAGCAAAGAGAGTTTTCTCTTTTGTCCTTCCATCTAATGCTTGTCCCATTTTAGTAGCTCGTATGTGGTATAGCGGACCTATATTCTCTTGAGTGCAGTGGATCAAACAAATAAATCTTCCTGCCACATTTTCCATTGACATTTTTTAAAACTAGTGGCAAAAATCAATGAGATGAAGATTGATTCTTCTGAAACACCCAAACCCCTCTCTTGAGAGTCCTTAGTCCAATTGGAATAGAGTCTGATACAGGGAGATGATCCCAGATGATCCTCTGTTAAGGATTAAATGTCTGGAAACACCCTCTTATAGGATATGGTTGCCAGGCACTAGCGAGTTTTTTAGAGCACTTGTTAAACCACAACCTTTTGTATCCTTAGGATTTAAGTGGTAGTAGAGTGGTTCAAACATCAACATAAATAGCATAATTGATGCTAAGCATTGAAGGATATATTCAAAGGACTGGACTGACATGTAGAATAAGTAAGACCTCTAAGGCAGAAAAGTCATAATTTATGAAATGTTTTTAGGAATATTCAAGGTAATGTTTTTCCAAATATCATCTTGATCTTTTGCTACAACCCATAGTGCTCAAGTAGTTCCATTCCTCACAAAGGTTTTGGCTCACAAGGTAAGAAGAAAGTTAACTTACAAAATGCCTGCCCTGCATTGCAAAACTGAAAAAACTTTGTGGCTGAAAGATCTTGAAACTCATGGAGAAAGTTAATGGTATGGGAACCATCAAGATGTTATCAGCACAAACATGCTGAAAATATATTTGCATAGCCTAATTCTGGTTTGTTTGGTTTTTTTTTTTTTTTTGCTGTTTTGCAAGAAACACATGAAAATTGTTCATTTAGCACAGTTAAAAAAAGAAAACAAATCGCCCCCCCCAAAAAAAAATTAATAAAGGAAAATCCTAACAATGACTATTTACATTATCCCTTTACATCTTTGAAATTCTTGCCTCTTCAATGTGAACCATTCTCTAAACCAGGTATCTTCAAACTTAGCCCTTTTATGACTTGTGGACTTCAGCTCCCAGAATTCTTCAGCCAGGCACGTTGGCTGAGGAATTCTGGGAGTTGAAGTCCACAAGTCATAAAAGGGCCAAGTTTGAAGACCCCTGCTCTAAACTAAGAATCCTAGATGGACCTTGACAATTACAACAACCTGGAAATGAATGTTGAAGAATTAAGTCTATAGAAAGAACTTCCACATCACCAAGATCACCTCAACTATGATATGCCTTTGCAGAGGCTGTTCATTCACTCATCTATGAATCATCAAGTGATAATTGTACGTGTCTTCATCCCAACCAGCTCCTTCCAATTATGACATGTCATATTTACTTAGAACTCATCCCTTTTGTGACTTATTTCTCAGTAGAGATGATTAGAATGAATAAATGAGGCTGAGGAAGACAAACTAAGCCTGTATGAAGATTTTTGCCTTCTCAAATTCCTGAAGATCAAAATATTTGAAGCTATGGAGAAAGAGCTGGCTGGCTTGTATCCTTGCCCTGGGCTGAATGGCTCTGCAAAACATTAAACTAAAGTTAACCTAAGGCAAAGCTGACCCATCACAGTTGCTAAAGCGAGGAATGATCTATTGAGTCTTCAAAGGACACATTTTGGAGATGTAATTATTTGTCAAATTTCATTTCTTTTTCACTGTCCTTTTATGGTAAAACCAAGTCCTTTCAGTCTTTTCATATTGGGGGTGGATGGGATTTTGCTATCTTTAAAGATTACCAAGCAATGCTGTATAGATAGAGTGCCCATTTCATGTATGCCTACTTTATCATTGCAAAATTGAATTGCAGAAATTCTAAGGCACTATAGACAGCTTGAGCACTGAGGGCAGTTGGCATGTCCACTGCACCTCTTCCAATTACAGCAATTAAAGTTGATTTTCCCATCATTTCAGATGGAAAAATACCCACAAATGATGTTACTTAAAAAAATAAGGGTTGGCATTGTTTTAAAAGAAGTAATGCAGCCCTCCGCCAATATATTACATAGAGTGTCATCTGCAGGAAGTAGCATCTAGCTGACTTTGATGCTAAGCAGCAAAGTTCCTGGTTAGAACTTGGATGAGGAACCCGGTTGGAATTTCAAAACGTATGGCACATGGTAAAATGATAGACTCCTTGTAGTTGATTTCGACTGGCCGATGTAGCTTTGTTTCTTCCCAGTAAGAAAGAAAAGAAATCCCCAAAAAAGGCATTCCATATTGTTACCAAGGAAATTTTTGTAGAGCAATAGAGGTCAGCTCCAGGGTATATATCATTTTACCATTCACCAAGAATTGCCCACTCCTGTTCTAAAGGGACCTTTTGAAAGATAAAATATAGAGGGTGCAAGAAGATATATTTTATATAGGGAACCAATCCGGTGAAGTGGTTAAGGTGCTGGCCAGCCTAGAAACCACGAGGCAGTGAGTTTTAGTCTCACTTTAGGCATGGAAGTCTGCTGGATGACTTTGGGCCTGTCCTTCTGTCTCAGCCCAACCCAAATCACAGGATGGTTGAGGAAGAATAGGAGGAAAGAGTATTATTATGTCCACCACCTTAAATATTAGAAACAATATAATAAAGATAGGATAAGAAAATTATCTTTAAAAAAAAGCTAAGTATGCATATCTTGAAAGATGCCATGTTTTTCACTATTAGACAGCAAAAAAAAAAAATTAGCTAGAGGAAAAAAAGTATTTCTGTTTCTCACTAGCTTAAGCCTGACATGTCCTGTGACTCTTCATTAATTAAAAAAAATGCCATGGGACAGGATTTCCCTTGGCTTCTGAGATGTGTGCCAAGCAGCTGAATCATGTTTTCTGCTTACCTTTAAACCTGGCCTTTGAATTAATGAGAAGTATCTCTCAAGCACACTCGAGTGAAGGGGAGAAATTTGGCCCAACAGCTGTTGAAGCGCTAAAGCATTGGTTTCATACGTATATTCCCAAGGCGGGGGATATTTTTAAACTGGGGTGGAGATCTGAGAATATGTGATGACACACATACTCAAGTGGGAAACCAGGAGAGGCATGGTATGTAAAACTCAGATGCCTATGTACCCAAAGGCAGGAAATTCACGGCTTTTAAAAAAATATAGATTACTTGTTCTCTGTTTGGTGTTTCTGTTGGTTAGCAGCTAGCCATGAAGTGGAATAGAAATGTACAAATTAGTGAAACAGTTGGTGCTTCTTCTGATTGAAGATGCTAAATGTCAGGGCTATGTATAATATCTCTTTCAGCATAAGTCAATTTCATTAACCAGCTTCTAATGTTACCTTGCTGGAATGGAAGGTGTGGCATGCATTAATGCTTGGCAACATATATGCAACAAGAAGCCTGAAAGGGTGCAAGACGATCTGATACAATGGGTCCTCTAACAATAGGGGCGGAAGTGGAATTAGTGACCTGCAGTTGGACAGCCCTAAGACCAGACCTGAAAGCGTTGGATGAAACCCCTCAAGACTTAAAAACTACAGTATCCAATGTGACAAAAGCAAGAAAATGGTGAGGATTTGAGGATTAATAGCACTCATCATATTTGTTTTATGTTTTATTAAATAGAGTTTTAAAAGATGAAGTCCATTTCTGGACAAGAGGAGAAATTAGCAGACTATTTCTAGTGTGGTCTAGAAAAAGGTTTACAGGGAATTTAACCTTTTATATATATGGGCTTAGCCATATTAAACCATATACCCTTCTTCTGTCTTTGTAAGATCCTTGTCCATATCCTATTCTGGAACTCCACAAATACAAGGTTTTTATGTTTATGTATTTATGTTTTGGGGGGAAAGTGACATAGCTCACTGATAAAGGATCTGTATGGTTGAAGGCCCTGGATTCATGGTACCTCCAGGCATTCAAGATTCATGTTTCAACCTGTTGTCCTATCAAAACTCTGTGTCTTGCTCCATTCCTGATCTAGGTGTTTCAGTAAAATTGGTGTCTTGCCTAATTCCTACTTTTATATACTGCTGAATTAGAATACATACAACAATATTAAAGATCTGAGTTTAGTGTTCTTGTAATACAATAATATTCTGTTATCCTGTAAGAAAAGGCTTGCAACATCAAGAAGACAAGTAAAAAGAACAGGAAGTGCATCAAATGTTATTATTTATCCAGATGATAACAATGGTAGAGCAGCATATTTCCAATGATTACATAAAACTGAAACAATGAAGACTTTATGAGTGTCTAAGTCACAATAAGCTGATGTATTAATGAGTTGCCATGTTTGTAGCTGTTATCATGATTCTAAGTAAGATACAACTGTCATTTACAAAAAGAAATTCTGGTAAAAGAGAGTTTATAGCAATAGCAATAGCATTTAGACTTATATACCTCTTCACAGAGCTTTACAGCCCTCTCTAAGCAGTTTACAGAGTCAGTATATTGCCCCCAACAATCTGGATCCTCATTTTACTGACCTCAGAAGGACAGAAGGCTGAGTCAACTTTGAGCCGGTGAGACTCGAACTGCCAAATTACTGGCAGCTGTCAGTCAGCAGTAGTAGCCTGTCATACTGCATTCTAACCACTGCACCATCACGGCTCTTATGCCATGCTTTGAAGAGAAATTAACGTGCACTTTCTTAGATCCATTTGAATTGTTAGATACATATAATGAGGTATTTTGATTTTTTAAAAAAAAAATGCATTACATTTTTTCTACATTCAAACTTGGAGCACACAGAGAAGCACTTCTGAGGAACAGCATTCTTATCCTTCACCAGAAGCAGATCCTTCCATGATTCCAGGAATATGAGTCTTTCAGTCTTGATAAGACTTCACCAGAAGCCACATGAGGAGTACTGTTATCAGGACTATCATAAAGTTGAGGAAAAGCTCTTGAGTGGATCTATCCATGGTCAGGAGGAATCAACGAAAAGGAGAAACTTTGTCTGTGGAATGAACAGGATGTGGAAGCTCCTGTTTCAATTGTCCTTGTGGTCGACCTTGTCCTCACCTAAAGAACAAGAAAGATACAACAAAACTAAATGTGTGAGGATCACAAGCATTTTCCAGGCCTATTTATAACACAACTAGCATAAGTAAATATTATTTCTATTGCTAACCTTTATGCAAGCAACAGATATTTAAAAAGGCAGAAGACATCTCTAACAACTTATCACCTTCTTCAGTTTCTGTCAAGCCACAAGCCTTCTTGTCGACATCACCCCAGTGCCCCAACAAACAGGTCCTTCATGAGAATGCTATTTAGATTTGCAATTATTATTATTATTATTATGGTTTTGTAAACATATTGTATCTTGAGGAAACGTTACTGGTGCTTACATGCTTGTCAACATTAAAACAAAAGGGAAGTACAGGCTTCCTTCCATGCATTTTGAGATATAAGTATATTATGGTTAGTGCCTTGCTTATCCAAAAACTAGAACATACGTGTGTCTGTGTATCTGTCTATCTGACTGTGTGTGCATGCCTTCAAGTCATTGTTGGCTCTTGGTGACTGCCTGGATAAGTACCAGTAGTTTCCTTGGTTCACAGTCTCCAGGTTTAACTGGGTACCCTAACCACTGCATGAAACTGGTTCTCAACAAGCAAATACTAGAACTAGTTTACCTTTAATGTGATTTCTATTGAGATGTAGACATGCCCACTTTCCACTTGAATCCTGCTTGGAAGAAGATCATTGAAATTTGGGTATATTTTTATATGTGTATTATTAGTCTGTTTTATTGGAATTCAAGATCTAGAAATATCAACACTGATGTAAAAGACATGTTTTTATTAGATGCTTGACTCTATGGATTCTGTTCTGAAGATGGAAACTGAGTAGTTTTTGTTCTATTGATGGTTATAATTCTATTTCTTCATTCAATCATTATCTGAGAATGTGAAGAAAAATGACTACTCTTGTAAAGAAGTTGCAGTTGAAAATCCTTGATAACCTGCTTCAGATTTATCCACATATCTACTCTTGATTTTGGTCTCTTTTTATCTGTCCTTGAGGTAGAAGGTTCCATCCTTGGATTAATGGTGGGATATTGATTTCTCCCTTGCACATCTAAAATTGCCAGAATTTTTTATATGAATAAAAATATTAAATATTAAAATATTATGGAAAAGATAGGCAAGAAGCACCTTTCATTGTATTATTTGTTCAATGATAACTATTTTAACATTAACTGTAAATTTTAACATTTACAATTAATTACTTAATTGTATTAAATATATATTTTATGTAATATTTAATATTTTTCAGTTGTCATTAATAGTATTTTAGAACAAAAGAATATCATAAATGGTTTAGCAATAGATTTTAAGCATCTCTTTTCTTGGGCTGTTGGGAGACTAAACCAAATATTGCCAAACACTAATAGGGTTTTTTCCCCTGTTTTGTTGGTAGGCTTGGTCCAAGATTATTTGTAAAATATCAGTTTGACCATTGACTTTTACTATTGCTTCAAAGCAGCTTGCAATACCTAATCCATTTTAGAATTATAATTCTGTAATGGAGATGTGCCTCATATGAAAAAGTTGGATTTCTCTTAACATAAAATCTTACTATTCTTGTATCTGCAGTGATAAGCTACAGTAAATGAGAATAGATCTTCAGCTCTTTGGATGGAAATTCTGTGACTCCTAATCTCATTGTTAGATTTATATAGTGCTGATTATGTTTGATATTTATATATGGCTTAGAGTTTAATAATTATGTGCAATTTTTGCAATGCAGTATATTTCTTTAAACCTATGAAATGTTGACGTGCTTATCCAATTTCATGATATCTGTAAATTCTCTATTTGTTTAGTGTTTAACTGATCTTCCTTGCCTCTTTTCTCCTTTTTCAAAAATTTCATAAAAACATAATTAAATTGAAGTACCTAATTGACCTTGGCTAACTTCAAACAGCAAGGCAGTGCCAAATCTAATGAATGAGAGACCAGCAGAAAATCTAATAGACTGAGTGTTTGAAAATCATTTCTGTATTGTTGCCAAGAAAACAACATGGATGTCAATCTCATTTCATATTATCTTATTGCACTACTGAAGTGTTTTTGAAAGGAGTGACATTACATCAAATTGGTGAAATTTCAAACAAGAAATTAAGTGAACCATACAGAAGGCGTGAAAATTGGTCCTGCCTCTTCCTTGAGATTAGAAAGATGACAAGGCATGTTATAATCCCATGCCACATATTTCCTCAATTTTGATTTTTTTTAGAACAAAATGTAAATATTTGTCAAATATTTACATGTAAATATTTGTCAAATGAAAAGACAGTGATTTCTCAGGTAATTGGATTGATACTGTAACTCGAAAGTTTAACATACTTAAGATCCACAATGTATCACCTTTAAATTCTTTGTTGATATGGTAGCAAAGTGTTACTGTCTATTCATCTGGGTAATAATTGCAATTTTTCCTGAAACATTTTGGAAAATAGATAAGACAGCACAAAGAAGAGGGGGGCAACCTATTCTCCAAAGCACCTGAAGGCAAGACAAGAAGCAATGAGTGGAAATTAATCAAGGAGAGAAGCAACCTAGAACTAAGGAGAAACTTCCTGACAAAACAATTAACAGTGGAATCTCTCCAGAAATTATAAGTGTGCCAACACTGGAGGTTTTTAAAAAGAGATTAGACAACCTTTTGTCTGGAATAGCATAAGGTTTCCTGTCTGAGCAGAGGGTTGAACAGAAGATCTCCAAGGTCCCTTCCAACTCTGTCAATTAGTTATTAGGTTGCAGAAAGTTGCGAGTATCTCTCCATATATTTGGACCTACTATCTCCAACCTGTTGCCCATTGTATTAATGGATTTTGACTCTCGATTTCCCAGTCAATATGATGTCTCTATGATAAACAGGGTGATTAAAAAGGTTGTCGTATCAAATGTATTGTGATAGGATCTGATCTGAAGAAATGAATCCTGTATAGAGACTGCCAAGATGAAATTACCTAGACATTTAATCCATCTGTATGCATGGTCAGGGCTATAAATGGTTTGCACTGGAGTAATTAAATATATTTCTTAGTCACCCTTTATCTAGAGGACTCCAGGGCAGTGGAGGGGTAAAAAATCCAAATAAAGTTGTGCACACAAATAGAATATAATAAAACCAATACACAAGCATAACAGAACACAAAACAGCAATCAAAAACAGTAATTCAGATAAAGATACTGACAATAAGGATACTAAAGCTAAACACCTAGAGACACTGAACAGTTATTGATTGAATTTTATTCTTTATTGTAAGAGAGGAGAGAGAAATCTGAAGATAAACATTTCTTTCCTTCATCGCCTTTCTGTAAGGCCAGGTTTTTTTTCAAGGATGTGAATCTTGTATTAGACAGTGCGAGGTCCATACAAAATGAAAATATAATCCATCACCAAACTGTGGGGCAACTATATTTGAAAATATAGTAGCCTTTCTTTCACTGAGCCAAATAAGCTTTATAATAAAACAATGTATGGTTTTGTAGAAGGGGGATCTCACTTCTGCACAGAAGTCTTAACTATTGCATCATCCTTTTCCTGTGCAAATCCTTCCCCATCAATCTCAACCCCAAAATCTCATGTGATCTCTTGGGAACACCAAAATTACTTATGCCTTCAGTGCATCACAACAGCTGCATGGGAATGCAAAACTTTCACGAGATTTAAGATTTACTGAGATCTGGCCATTTTTTTCTGCTCAAATGTGGAAGTTGCAGACACTCCGATTAATTAAATTGGAGAGAATGAGAGCATATATTATTGAATGTCTCCCTCCAAGGAAACTAACAAGATGTTTCTAATAAGACTACAGTTCATAACTGCTTGAATTCAAAGGGCCTTATTTTTGAGCAAGCATGTATAAGTATCTACTGGAAGTATTGGGCTGCAACCTAATACTTGCTTGCCTAAGAATAAGTCTCATTGCACTTAAATGGAATTTATTCTTAAGCAAACATGGTGTTACTTTTAAAAGCCTACAAAGTGATAAACAGGCATTTCATAAGACAAAAAAAGATTTTCATCCCAAAGTCATTTTTCTTAGCAACAGGATAAATCTAGGCTTGGGTTTATGACTAATAATCTTGACCACAAATATTAATGAACATGCGGCAGTTCAACTGGAGATTTACATATCTAAAGTTAATTTCTTAGAATAAGTATCAAAGCTGTGAAGGTCCTGTACTTGAAATCTTAAATCTTAAAATCATCTTCCCCTATCTCAGGGGTAGGCAACCTTGGCTCTTTTATGACTCATGGACTTCAACTCCCAGAATTCCTGAGCCGGCCATTCTGGGAGTTGAAGTCCATGACTCATAAAAGAGCCAAGGCTGCCTACCCCTGCCCTATCTGATATCCTCCAAAGGAGTCAGAACTACAACTTTCAGAACATTGGCAATGTCATGGCTAGGACTCCTGGGCTAGGTCTTGCTAGATGTAGGCAGGACTCCCTCCCTCCCTCCCTCCCTCCCTCCCTCCCTTCCTTCCTTCCTTCCTTCCTAAGGAAGGACAACGGGGGAGAAAAAATGGTCTTCAAAGACGATGCCTCCACCCACTGCACTGCATATTGCAGTTTTTCCAAGCATTTTGGTCTCATCTTGTTCTAAATCAGCGGTTCTCAACCTGTGGGTCGGGACCCCATTTGGGGTCAAACGACCATTTCATGGGGGTCGCCAAACAACGCAGTCCGCCATTTTTTCCCCCTTTTCCTTAGCTATGCTACTCCCTTTTATTCTATTGGCTTTTGAGAGCCAATAGAATAGACTCTCTTGAATAGAGTCTAATTCTATTGGCTTTCAAAAGCCAATAGGAATTGTCCAGGCTGTCTCTGCCCTGCTGAGCCCGCCAAAAGTCCCATTCTGCAAACGGTGCTGCACTAGTTGAGTAGTCCTCGACTTACGACCAGTTGAGTAGTCCTCGACTTATGACCGGTTGGGGGTCGCGGCATTAAAAAGCTTGAGAACCACTGGTCTAAAGAAATCTGCTCAGTTAATATAGAAATTAATATTAGAAAAAGCCAGCAGTCTTGCAACAAGCTAGTCTTTAAATTAGAGAATCCTTGTTGGTTCTCCTACAGATATCCTATAAGTGCTGATTTTATCATCTTATTACATGTCGGTTTTGCTTTAAGGTATAGTTAAATACTAGATGATCAAACAGTGACCTTGCATTTTTTTGTCCAAATCTGCAGCACATACTACTAAGCCTTTTAGGTATATAGGACAGTGAATATTTGATATGCATAAAAGAGTCTGCAAAGGACTTTAATCAAGGCAAAATAGACAGCATTAAATTTCATGCCATCGTTCATATAGATTTCTTGATCGGATGTAAATTGGTGCAGTGATTGCATTTTCTCTTTTGATTCCTTTCATAAATTTGGGTTAGAAATCTATCTTGGAAAGAACTGTCAGTGGCCATTGTTTGGAAAAGTTGCAATCTTTCATGTAGTTAAAAAAGAATTTTATATTCTTTCTCTCTCTCCCTCTCCTTTGTTCATTTTGAGATATGCTCTAGGCCATATAAAGACAGATAAAAGAACAATTCTCAAAAATAGCATAGCTATTATTCAAGATTCACTAAACATTTTTATTCTCTCTGATTAATACCCTGTAAATAGCATTCTTGACCTGGAGTTTTTCTGATGTTTGAAGACCACAGGTTATTTATTATTATTTTTTGCATTTACATATCATATCAGTGGTTCTCAACCTGTGTGTCGGGACCCCATTTGGGGTCAAAAGACCATTTCACGGGGGTCGCCAAACAACGCAGTCCGCCATTTTTTTCCCCTTTTCCTTAGCTGTGCTACTCCCTTTTATTCTATTGGCTTTTGAAAGCCAATAGAATAGACTCTCTTTAATAGAGTCTAATTCTATTGGCTTTCAAAAGCCAATAGGAATTGTCCAGGCTGTCTCTGCCCTGCTGAGCCCGCCAAAAGTCCCATTCTGCAAACGGTGCTGCACCAGTTGAGTAGTCCTCGACTTACAACTGATTGAGTAGTCCTCGACTTACGACCGGCTGGGGGTCGTGGCATTAAAAAGGTTGAGAACCACTGTATTATATTATATATAATACTATTAATACTATTAAGTGGGGAACAATATAACAAAGCACAAAGCTGTAAACATAATAAACATTTGAAAGGTCTAATTTCCATAGTAATGCTTAAGATTTTTACAAAGAACATCACTAACTAATATTTGGAAGTTGAGTCATGGCAACTGGACTTCTTTTCTTGTTGGTTTGAAACTTTTTGCTGCTCATCCAAGTAGTTTCTTCAGTCTGAGCAAGTTAATTGGTTTCCCTCTAACTCTACCTGGATGTCTGAGGATCTTCATTGATATAACGCCAACTAATGTTCCCTGTTCTATAAAAGTCTTGGTTTGAGAAATGGTAGCTTGCTCCTGAATTGGTTCACCAACAAGCTGAGATTGCATTCAGGTTCCTCAGACATTCAGGTTATTATTCAGCTTCTATGTTAAGCTAATTCTGTGAAAGGTAACTCTGCACAGCCCTGCAATATTAAAATCCTGGAGACCCTGTCCCTTCGGACTCAACCAGTGGTTCTGATCGATTCAGCTTCCCTGAACCTCCATTCCAAATATGTGCATAAGGATAATCCTGCATCCTTATTATCAAGCATTATGTCCAACAATTAGTACTGGTACCATAATAAGAAGCAAAGAAAGTCAATACTATACATCATTAAAAGTTTTCTGGCTACACAAAAACAAGGGAAAAGTTAGAAGCTCCTATAACTTTAAACCTCAGTTTTTTTCCCACTTTGGAATGTTAGTTTTCTTTTTTCTTTGAAGAAGAAATAAGATCTACGCATATCAAATGCATCTGTTGCTCTACCTGCAGAAGATGGACGGAGCCCCAGAGTGTGATGACTGGAGCTTCTCAGCTTCTTCTCATCGTCCAGTGCTGTCTGGGCGAGAATTCTTCTGCTGGAACTAAAGTAGTCTGAGGGAGGAGAGCATTGGCAACAGAAGCATGATGTCACAGGCTTCCTATTTAAGTGGGGTTAAGCTGATGAGCAGAATTCAGTTGAGGTTATTTAAGTATTGGGGGTAGGAAGGAAAGAATAGGTTTAGATTTACATATTTTCAGATCCTGATCTGAATTGATTATAAGAAAGCCCAAGAATTCTGAACTGGGGAGGATAGTTCTATATTTATTTTTCAGAAAGTTGATTCTGCTTCAAAATATACAAAATATATAGTGATCTGCAATTGCAAAGAGAAAGAAAGACAGGTAATTGCCTGGAATTCTCAATATTATTTAGGCTCAAGAAGTCTTAACCTTTTGACAAATGAGCTTCCAAATTCCAGGTTCTGGGCAGATTATTTGACAAGCGCAGCCACCTGTTCCAGTCCTGTCCCACATTCTTATTAGAGTAATCTCTTCGCTTCTCATATTCCTATAGGTTGAGTCCAAGAAAGAACAGCAGGTGCCAAACCCTTCTTTGTATTACAAGATGAAGTAACTAGCTAAACTGTGATAAACTGAAGACCAAGAGATTCTAATTTTCACAGTCATATGGACTTAGTTATTCATAAGTTTACCCTATACTTTCATCTCCTAGTTCATTTTCTCAAGAAGTTTACTGGAATATAAATTCATTCGTAAATATAGTGCCTTTAGTGTTAAATTCCTAATAACAAGACTCCTGGTGAGATCCCATTAGCAATTTTGGCAAGCTCTAAATTCTTAATTGATTTTATCTGTATTGAGTTTATGTTTAGCATATTGTTTCATTGTTGTAAGCCATCTCACGGTATTTGTACAAGCAGAAAGACAAGAAAACGGTGCTTCTGTTTTTAATTTAACATGAACGTTCCTTTTTCACATTTGAAAGCTGACAACGCTGTATATCAAATACAAATGAACTTCTCATGAACCTCTCTGGCTACCAATATGTGCAGAGTTCCATGCAGAAGAAGGGGTTTTCAAGAGATCATAAAAGAGGAGATGATGGCTATCAAATCTGTCATCATTTAGGTCATTGAACACTGATGATGTTACTGAATTGGATAATGAAACATCTGCAAGAAAGCAATAAAGCTTAGAAAGCATCAAGGACCTTACAGTTAGACCACTTACTGAAAATGGTGTGAAATCCTGAAAGAGTAACTTTAAAAATCCCGACAACTACTTTTGGGTAAGGAATTGGAGAAATGAAGTAAACCGAGAAGGACCAAGTCCTGATGTGGTTGGGCCAAAATTTTCTGCTATCTTTCCTGAAAGGTGGTGTGGGGTTTCTTTTGTGGGGGGATTATGTACTACATGTTCATTACAGTTAGACTGTGTACCAAAAGAGGAGGCACTAACTTTTATCTTCTGAATCAGAGGGGGCTCTGCAGGATACCAAAATAAGTGCAAGGAGCTTGTTGGGTGGCTATTCCAACAAACATCCACATGGGGGGTAGGAATGTTGAAAAATGTGTATCTTGTCATTGCTACTCAAATTACACCTCTTCAATACTGTACTTACATGCAATGTTGCAACACTCAAAGGAGTAGCATTCACATCATGACATGATGCACATTTTGTCATTGAGTATCATCATGGTTAAGAAAGAATGTGTTGAATAACCTCTCTTCCAGCTAATATGGATACTGACTTAGAATATATCTGGGACCTTCTTATTCCATACCAATGTCACTTTCCTAGCTGGTTCTCATCTCTGCATCTTTGGTGAAACCAGAAACAAGTTCTTCCACTTGACTAGTAGCTCTGTGTCAATGAGGTTTCCATTCTGTAGAGGAATCCATGTGTATACTGGCTGCCGTTTCTTCAGTGCTTTGTAGAACATAAAGAATGTAGAATGTAAAGAATGATGTTGCAGAAAGTTGTTTAATGGGGCAAGCTAGAACTCTGCATTCTACTCCTTTTTCCCATGTGGACATACCTACATATTAGTCTTCCCAGAGAAGGCAAATAAAATTGGATGACTGACTGTCTATAAAAAAGTATTCTCTTCTGGAATTGGGAATTGTGTAGAAACTGAATTGAAATATCAAAAGTGTACCTTAGAAAAATCCTGTAAAGTGCAACATGGAATTTTCAAAGCCTGGGGGGTTCAAACCAATTTCAAATAGAATGGTTTCATCCATTACTTTGATAACAACTTAATAATGTTAAGAAAGTATCTGTGCTTTTTGAAATATGGGATGTATTAATTACTGTTGCTATTACATGAGTATTTGAAACAGCCACTCTATTAGATAAATCTCATACCATACGGATATCTTTTGATCCTTCATCCAAAAAAAGAGCAGGTGGCTATTCTAGTTTCTGTTGGCAACAGTTCTGAGGTGTGTTGTGCTGAGAGATAAAAACCTGCCAGAAACACTAAATCAATATTGGATAGAGAGAAAGCTTACATAAGATGAAATGAAGATACACATTGAAGGAGAGCCATGTTAAATCAAGACAATAGGGCATCTAATTCCCACTCTGCCCAACTAAGCCATTAACTAAGCATTGCCTAGAAGGAGAACAAAAATATTAAGGATAAATATAACTGAAAGGTCATCAATGTACGTAACAAGATTATTTTATCCTGTGTTTTAGTGCCAAAGTTAAATAGTTTGGGGTCCTTGATGCTCTCTGAGCTTGATTGTTTTCTTGCAGACATTTCATTACCCAACTAGGCAATATTATAAATGCTAGAAGGTTTGTATGGGAGCCCTGGTGGCACAGTGCTTAGCATGCAGTATTGTGGGCTAACTGTCCACAGCCTGGAGTTCAGTCCTGACGAGGCTCAAGGTTAATTCAGCCTTTCATCCTTCCAAAGTCAGTAAAAGGAGGACCCAGATTGTTGGGGGCAGTAAACAAATAATGCTTCTTCGTTGTAAACAAACAAGAGAGTGCTATAAAATGCTATGGGGCTGTATATAAGCCTCAATGCTATTGCTGTTGCTATATTCAAATGAGGAATTGCCCCATGATCTACTGTCCAGCATGGCATGAGGGTATGGTTTAATATGTAAATGAAGAGGCTGAGGATGCTAACTCCTCACCTTCCTGCCACCTGTTCTTCTACAAGCCACCTATTCATCTTACCCTGTTTAGCAATTTTTCCTGGTTGAGAAAAGATTCTATTTATTTGTTTTTTATTTGTTAATATGCTGCCCATCTCACTATCCAAAGTTACTCTGCAGAAGTTTAGTTTCAAAGGGAATTATTGATATTCCTTTTTATTAATTGCTTTATATAATGTAATGCATGAAGTCTGCATCATTTAATGCTAATTGAAAAAAATAGTGTATAGTAAATTAAATTGTATATAGTATCCTTATATTTCCAAAGCCCCTACCCTGTTTTGGAACAATTCTGGGTTTATTTTTATTTTATTTTATTTTATTTGTTAAAATTTATAGACCGCCCCACTCCTGCAGGACTCCGGGCGGTTTACAATAAAACACAACATAACTTGACAAACAAACAATACAATAACATTCATCCAGGGGTCAGATTTTATAAACCCCAGGCCTGCCGGAAAAGCCAGGTCTTAAGCAGCTTGCGGAAAACCAACAGGGTGGGAGCGGTCCTAATCTCCGGGGGGAGCTGGTTCCAAGACGTGGGCGCCATCACAGAGAAAGCCCTCCCCCGCGGCCCCGCCAAATGGCACTGCTTGGCCGACAGGACCTGAAGGAGGCCCAGCCTGTGGGATCTAACCGGATGAAGGGAACTATGAGGTAGTAGGCGGTCTCGCAAATAGCCTGGCCCTGAGCCATATAGAGCTTTAAAGGTAATGCTTTAGAACCCCACACATTCATTTAATGGTAACAAAGTATTCAAAGGTGTTTTGCATCTCTTTGCTACCATCTAGCACTTCTCCAGATTTTTGCCCTCCAGGTCTAGTAGCTGTGGTCATTATGCTGTCTATGCATATTTGCAAACTTTCTGCATGTTTGTAATAAGCTCACATTTGAAATTTCAAGCCCAACCACTATTACAGATATAGTAGCTTGGCCTTGTTATCCAACACCAAGAAACAAAGTCATATATTTGCTTGATGACATGGAATCTTTGGGGATTCTAGGTCTTGGTAGGATCTGTTTACCAATGACTACGGAAGTTTCTTCAAAACAAAGCTTAGATACCCCAGATTCTTGGGGGAATTATATATTTTTGCTACATTATCAGAGTCTTTGCAAATTGTTATTGTTTCTAAAATCAGTTTAAATCCTCTAACCTTTAAAAAAATCTGGCTTAAATTCCTTTCTCATGTTTATAGCGTAATTTAAGACACCAGTCTATATTTATCCTCAACATACATGTGTCAATTTCATTTTAGACCACTCAAGGATCACACCGGCCTTATTAGTAACCTTATGTGATTGCAATGCAATTGCTCATAATGTTATAAAGTAGACAATCTTTTGGTAACCAGGGACATAGTAAAAAGTTCAGACTGTGCAGCTGGAAAGGTGGCATTTTCCAGTTTTCTCTTGATTAGGAATATTTTTTGCAATGTTATTCCCACAACAATCCTTTTATGTTATGCTGGGCAAAGAAATACCATTAAGATGTGTAGACTTCAACTTCCAGAATCCCTCAACTAGCATACTGGCTGGGGAATTCTGGGAGTTGAAATCCACACATCTTATTGTTGCTGAGGTTGACAAACACTGGTATAGAGGGTCTGCATTCTCCTTTTCTTAAGGTTTTTAAGAAAGGGCTGGATAGCTACCTCTCGTGGATTCTTTCCAGCACGATGCTGAAGGTTGGACTAAATGATTTTAGGATCCCTTCCAAGTTTACAATTTTTTTGTTTCTATGAACTTAATCTTCACAGCACCTTTTCAAATAACTGTGGAAGAAGAGCAAAGGAAGCTGCAGCAGATAAATTGTTCTGTCACATTAGAATCATATTCATTGTCCAAGTAACACCTTCAGGGAAACATTTCTGAGGCATTATTGCTATGACATTTTTGGAAACTTTTCATCAGGCTGCTTTCTATTTAGCAAGTATGTATGGGAAGGCCATGAGAAAGAC